CTCTCTCTCTCTCTCTCTCTCTCTCTCTCTCTCTCTCTCTCTCTCTCGTCATTTTTTCTTACAAAATAATCAAAAGGAACCAATAAGAGTATCGATAAGAATATCGATAAGAGTACTAGTATCGATAGAATCCTAACAATGACCATCACGACTAGTTTGGGCTTCAGTAGGTTGACTTGCTAATGTTAGCATAGCATGCCGTGGCTAAAGCTAACACACACACACAGGTTACTCACCACCTCCAGGTCTCCTTCGGTGGGCAGTCTGCGGTTGTCTGCGTTGTTGTCTCCTCTGTCTCCTCCCTCCTTGTGACTGTTGGCCTCCTTCTCTTTCTGCTCAAAGTACTCGAGGAAGGACGGCTTGTTGGCCGGCTGCATCGTCTCGTCTCTCCCTAACAGACACAAGATCAACATTTACTGACACAGAGTCCTGATGTAAATACTTAATAATACATTAAAGGTCTAATGTTTAAAAAGACGTTTGATTACGTTGATTTAATCTACAGATCTGTGAAACTAAGATTAAATCTAAAGAGTTCAGTAGTTTCTTCTTCCTGAAAAAAGGCTTAAAGAACGATTAAGTTCACTGTAATAAGTATAAACGCCTCGGTACATATGTGGAGGTTCAGCACGCTTAATGTTGAACTAGTGATGCTTAGTTTCTGTTTATGTCGGCTAATATTCAGAATCCAGTCAGTTAGCTCGCCTTCATGACTGCAGCACAAGATGTGCAGGATCAAATAAAACAAAAGGAGAAGATGCTGTCTGTGGCTTTGTGTTCAGACAAGTAGTTCATTTAGCATGTTAATATTAATGTTAATACAGTAAATATATCACATATTTCTGTTAGACAACACAACCAACAGTTCAGAGGATCAGTTGCATCACTAAAGCAGCAATAAGAACCAGATCACCGTAAGATATCTGAACTAATTCAATAGATGATCAATAGATGATCAAGATAGACGATCGATAGATGATCAAGACAGACGATCGATGGATGATCAAGACAGACGATCGAT